TTTTAGAACTGGTTCGGAACTATAGAATTTAGGACTAGTTCGGAACTATCGAAAAAGGGATGCAGCGGGGGGCAATTGACACTTCCTAGGACATCGCCATGTTAAATTCGCCAGTTGCTTGCATGCAAAAGAGATTTATCGCGAACCAGTACTGGGTCTAAATGCACTAGAAACGCCACAGTTCAGAACTAGAGATTTTCAACACATGGTGAGCAGATGTGATCACTACCACAAGTAAATGCGAGCTGAAAGTGTGATTGTGTTAGTGTGCCAATTACGTTTGAATGCCCTGTNACGCCACAGTTCAGAACTAGAGATTTTCAACACAGGGTGAGCAGATGTGATCACTACCACAAGTAAATGCGAGCTGAAAGTGTGATTGTGTTAGTGTGCCAATTACGTTTGAATGCCCTGTAGGATCTCGGAATAGACTTAGAGCACACCACAAACTAGACTGCAAGTGATTGTAAGTAGTCCAAAGTTTGGTCCAACAACATGTAAAATTCTATTTACATTTAACATTGAATATCCTAGGCTCGGACCAATTCTCCGCTTCTGCATTACGTTCTAACCAATTTTGGAAAAAAACAAAAATTACTTGCGCCAGCTGTGATTCGAACCGGGGTTCTCAGATTTTCTAAGCGGATACTCTCTCTGCATCCCAACGTCGCACATGAAAATTTGTTGTCTAAGCGCCTACATATCAGCAAGTCGTTAATTGTACCCGTTGGCCTCTACTGCATGACATTGTAACCAGTTTTAGATCAAAACTCATACCTTATGCATTACATTCGGACCACTTTTAGTAGTATTCACCTCTTTTACATTACATTGCTTTAAATTTTTTGGATATCTTTGGTGTAGGTTCAAAGCTACTATACCTACGACTATATTTTTCGAGCAATTGGAACAATCTTTCCTTCAGGGTGATTTTGCGTTCACTTTGTTACGTTCTCGCATGTATTTGCATGTGATGCTTACGCTCTTTAAGTAGACGCTCACTCTCTGCCCATGCTGGTATATGAGCAAATTTGACATCGATATAACTGTTGCCAACTTTGTGCCTTCCGCAATAAATCAATTGCCTTTAGGGAATTAAAACGCGATTTTTTTTTTAGTTTAGCGCTTGTTTCGTTCTTTGGTGCCCTTTTCAAGGCAACTTTATAATAAAAACGTGATTCTATGGTGACATTGTATTTATTTTGTTCATTCATTTATTCAATCCAAGCGTACAGAAAACTTCATCCGTTGACTTACACATACATATGTTAGTGTTTGGCCCCCTGGATAATATGCTCCCAGATAATCCAAACGCAATATTTTCACACAGTCTCTATCACGGAATTCATAGAATATTCTGCTAATTAGCTGGGTGTACGCGTTTGTACAAATGTAGGCAATCGCATGAAAATAAAGCCGCTAGAGAAACTAACTATAGTTTTGCAAATTGTTTTACGAATAAAAAACATTTTGCAAATTATATTAATTAAATTAATTAACTGCGCATAGTTGGAAATATTTGCAAGTAACATTGCGTGATTGCTTAAAATATTTGAACGTACAGCTTTATATGCAAAAATACCATTAAACACAGCAACACAAATTTGGTGTTTTTTTTTGGGAAAATTGCGCTATTTTCATTGTTTTGGAGCTTCTTTAAATAAAAAACTTGGCAATACTGATCACTAGCTGACCTTCATCGAGTGCTCTTTGCTGGGTTCGGAGCGCAAAAAAACAAGTTTTCGTAGTAGATGTGCATTTCTTATCTTTATAAAAAACAATTTATTTCTCCTCGTGTCACTGTATTCTTGGACTATATAAGGGGCTAAAACTGCCTTTACAAGGGCCGATTTCTGTAGACTAGAAAATCGACTAGCCAAAGCATTTACATATTACAGTTGAGATGTCATTCACACGGTCGATTTTGGTTGAACGAAAAAAATCTACTAGAAAATCGACCCGTGTAAAGGCGCCTTAATCCAGCGAGCAATTATCATTAAAGTTAAAATGTCCTGGTTAAAACTAATAAAAGGTTATTTCATTCTTTCTTTACCGGGACAATTGTTACACCGGTGGGCAACTCCGCAACCACGGAACTTTGGACAGAGCAATCTTTTTCGATCGGGTTCAAATCGGGCGATTGTGAAGGCCTATTCACGAATTCAAGTGTATTTGCAAAGGTGCTGTAGCTTACCAATGTAACAATCGTGTCGATAAAAAGGTAAAATATAAATCTTAGTTTGCTTTTAAAAGCCGCACATCCCTTCTATTTGAAGAGTAAATTTGTTGATGCAACAAAACGGCGCAGATTTTCAGATGAGCGGAGTAGAGGACTAGTATCGGAGTCAAGTCAATTGACTTTATTTCCGTTGATCTTGTTACCTGTCACCGTAGTTTCAACTTCGTTCAGATTTGAACTGAATTTAACTAAACTTCGTTTAAACCAGCACTGAAGAACTGACCCTTAGAGGGCAAAGTGACAGTACGATGCGAGACAAATACTGATTTTGTAGTGGAAATATTGGAGCCCATAAAAATTATCCACCAGGAAAACATGATCTGAAAGCATATGACTGCAATTTACGTAAGCAAAGAAATTTGAATCTATTGAGTTTTGGAATTTTATATCGCCGTTTAAAGTACAAAACCACGTATCAACAAAATGCAAAACCGCGTATTAATTATTTTCTAGATAGTAAAAACACTCACATTTAAAAATGGTTCTGTTTTTTATAAAGCAATCGCATTTCTGGCTAGTATATTTCAGCTTGTGTGAGCAAATCCAATATTTGGCAGCAAATGTCAGTAACGCGGTTTGGCAGAATGACGATACGCGTCTTTGTAATTTAAACGAGGATATGCTTTTTGACTGCCTCCTACATATGTTTATCGTCACCTAAGGGCGAAAAGGTTCCAAGTTCTGTTATTTAAATTGTTCAGTAGAGACGAAAAATCGATGTAGTTTACTATTAACTAACATTCTGCATCAAAAACTGAATTAAAAAAAAATAACTTGGCACCTTTCGGTAGCGATATGATTTATGGTAGTGCTATCTGATCTTTACTGTAAGTAAAGTTTCCGACGAATACTGAGTGCCCCTTTCCTGTACCTTCCAATGCCTATCTTTTAACTTGTTGGTTTTTGTTTAATTTTGGGCTGGGGCTGGCTGGGGATGGATAATTTTGTTGTCGAACAAAACTAATTATGGCCATGCATGGCAAAAAACTGATCCAAAGCGTACACTTGATTTTATGTCGAAAAATGCTTTCAAATGAAAAGTCCTTAACGCAGGAAATGCCCATATGTTTGTAGTATAATGCGTTCCACTGTAAATATTTGTATATTTTTAGAGAAATTGAACAACCACATCTGCCATTTTGAATGTGAGCTTGACAATTCTGAGGACGATGTCCCCAAATGTGAAGATTTTTCATGGCAAGATGTACCATATCAAGGGTTTAATGAAAATAAAGACGCACAACAAATATCCTCGGCGTGTTATGTGTAAGTTTTAATGGTAAAGCTCAAAATGTCTTATTTATTATGTATTTTGATTCCAGAGATCATAAGAAAAAAAAAGATGAAGTGGGCGGAGTTTTTGCAAATGCCAATCTGCCGGAAGGGAGCGTCGTTTTGCTAGAAGAACCAATTAGTAAAAATGTTAATGTACCATTACTTCATTGTGAACTGTGTTTGCGTAAAATTGATCAAGTTTATACTTGCTTGAATTGTCGCTATAAAACGTATTGCTCCTTCCAATGTATTAAAAGAGATATACATATTCATCAGTACGAATGCTCTGCATATAAATGTCTTATATTATATATACTAGATGCTAAGGACCTCTACGGTGTTTTTGTAAAACTATCAATTCACCTCGATGAACAAGTATTCACTCAAAAAATATTTCGGTAAGTAATAAATTCCATACATTCATACATACATATCGTCGATGTTTTTGCAAAAGCGCCCATCGACCAATTGTAAAACCGACTATCTTATTTCATTGAAGGCATTGCTTTGGCAGGCGGTATTTTCTCTAGCTATAATTTTACAAATCTTTTGTTTTAATAACGATGTTAAGATTTTTGTGCGGTTTTGCAAAAATATCAACGACATGCAGCGTGTAAAATAATAATTATTACTTAGTATCCTGAATAACACTGTGGTTAGCTTTATTTCGAATAATATAATTTATTTACGACGTATTTTAACCATTAATTTCGATGCCGTGCGATAAAGCCATAAAAATAACGCCATATGGCTTTATTTCACTTTACAGCGTGGCGACGAATAACTGTTACCCAGGTTTTTTTGAGAAATAGAAGAGTCCTTTATAGATTTTGCGAAAAAAGTATGTTATTGTTAATTTTCCACAGATTTTACTTTAGTTGTATTAATTAGTTTTTAAATTTTAATCCTTATTTACATTTGCCAGCAGTGTAAACTTTGAGAGAAAAGTTCATTTGGCACGCAGGTCCTCGTCAGTTAATTTGTTCCATATCTTCTGTAACCATAGGCTAATTTTCTCCATTTTGAGTCCCTTATACTCCCCCTTCTGTCCAAAATAAGGCCT